TGGAAATTTTTTCGTGGAATACGGATAAAGGAGGATGATTCGACCATGTGGACGTGGCATGGCGGGTTCTAGATGTAAATGTCGAAAATGTTGGAACGAGAGAATTTAGATCATCAGAACATTTTCTATGGGAATAGCGATAGAGTAGAGAGGGACTTGCCACACTGCGACTACGAGAAAAGGGGATGTAGAATGGAAAATAATTTATCGCCCACAAGTCTGCACAAACACTTATAAACTCTGGAAAGTAAAGATTGGGTAGCTCCAGCCCAGATGTGGCAGCAATTTGATATTTTTAGTCTTTCTGTAACAGCACAAGTTACCCGACCATTTTCCTAGCATCTTTAGCAATGGATCGGATAGATGTGTTCCATTTGGAATCTGCGGTGAACGTGTTCAAATAGAACAGGTTGATTTTTCGCTTCTTTTAGAAAGTCAACATTGCACTCAGTGTAAAAGCTGAGGTTTGATGTGCTAAATATTGACATCAAAAATTAGATTCATAACTTTTATCAATATTTGGGCATTTAGTTTTAAAGATCTGGAAAAAATGCATGGAAATGCCTAATTTTCCGTAGGTTTTTGCTTACAAACTGACTTAAAAATTTTACTATTTCAAGAATAAATTCAAATAAAGCTGATGTTTTTGTATTAGATACATTGAGTGGAAAATATATTCAAACCAGAATTTTAATTATGAATCACCACAAGCAAAATGAATAAGACTTATTAGATCATTTGTTAGATCATATTTAATAAAAACCAAAATAGAAAAAAATTGTATATAGCACCATAATACTGCTAGGCACAAATTATAATACAGAATGTTTTAAATTTGCATTGTTTATTGAAAATCCCACTAAAGCTAGGCACTATATAACATATTACATCATAATATAGCTAAATTTTTCAGTATAATATCCCTTTGAAGTAAATGAAGTTTTTATTTGATGTCATAATAATTTATTAATAATGTGCTTGTACCATGAATCTTGTCCATATACAATAAGTAAAGCCTTGGTAAATTATAAATTTTATAACGCTGTGCTCTAAGGCTTTCACTGGTCACCGGAATGAAATTTCAACGATATGATTTTGAGCCTAAATTTAAGCTTTAAACTCGTTTTTTTCAAAAAAAAAAAAAAAAGTAACGATTTGGAAAAATATTTGATGTTATTTATCATGTCAAAATTTCAAATTGAGGAACAATACCGCAGTTTCAAACTCGATCTGCCTTAGTGTCCAATAGACGTTCAAGGCCAGGTGTATCACGGAAAGTAGAACTGTTCATCATGACAGGACAAGATTCATTGTTTGCTCTGGCGATGGTGGAACGGTTATAGTTTAGTTCTGAGACTAACATATTGATTGTCATAAAACTAATCAAGAAAGTTCAAAAATATAATCATATCCAATTAAAAAAGCGCAAATCATTTTCACGTGTCTTTTTCTGCCTCTTCCACAGATATTATTAGCGTTGTGTATTGGCTGGGTCATTTCTTACATTCTGACGGTCAGCGGTTACTTCACAGAGGATCCACAAGCAAAACAATTCCTTGCTAGAACCGATGCCAAAAATGAAATGATCGATTCAACACCTTGGATTACAATTCCCTATCCAGGTTTCTAAAGATCTCTTTGTTTTTTCGCTCTGTTTATTAGTTTGAAAGAAAATAAATGTTTTAGCTATGCATTAGAGTCATTGATTTTCTTTCACTGTTCCCTTCTGTTAATGTAATTACGAGGGTGGGCTGTAGACTTCATAGGACAACTATGAAGGATTGATGCTATAACTGTGAAATCTTGCATGCATTCATTTCAACTCTTTTTTTTATTAGTAATTGCATGATGTCAGTTTACATAGAAAGAAATATTCTTTCTAGGTAAACTGACATCTGACTGTTCAAAGAAGACTTCAAATGTAACTAGTAGCAACTTCTCTTGAAAATGGACAAAGTTTGGTATTGTGGTATTAACAAGTACATACAAAAAAAGGGTTTAACCTCCAAAGACATTCTTTGTATCATGGTTACTACATTAAGAGATGACATTCCAGCTTTATCAACAGTGCAAAAGTGGGCAGCTGAAGGGGGGGGGAAAGAAGTGTCTTAAATATGACTCAAGGTCTGGACATTCTGCAACTGCTACCACCGAGGAAAACGTTGATCATGTTCATCTCATGTTAATAGATGACAAGCGATTGACTATAAATCAAGTAGCCAATGCTATTAGCATATCCCGTGAGAGAGTTTAGAATATTCTGCACAATGAACTTGGCATGACGAAGGTTTCTGCTCCGTGGGTGCCAGTCTTCTCACGCCTGATCAAAAGCGTACCAGACTGATCACATCACGGATAAATCTGACATTGTTTGAGACAGAGCCAGCTGGTTTCCTTGAACGTTTTGTTAGATGTTGGGTTCATCACGTTGATTCAGAGACAAAGAGACAATCCATACTGTGGAAACACCCTCCTCCCCAAAGAAGCCCATGGTCATTTCATCTGTAAGGAAGGTGATGGCCTCAGTTTTTTGAGATGCAAAAGACATTGTGTTTATTGACTATCTTCATGAAGGGCCACACCATCAATGGAGAGTAATATGCCAACTTGATAAGGCAGGTACAAAAGTCTATCAAGACCACCCCCAGGAAACCTGACGAAAGGGGTCTTTTTTCATCAAGAAAATGCTCCAGCACAAAAGTCCTTGGTTTCAATGGCTGCTGTGCATGACCATGGCTTTCAACTGGTTGGTCGAAATCCTTATTCTCCTGATCTGACTATCATCTGTTCCCCAACATGAAAAATCACATGGCTGTGAATCATTATCGCAGTGATGATGAAATCATATCTGCTATTATTTACACGAATTCCCCTAGTGTTCATTACATTCACTTTCGTGTTAATACCCTGTCGCCTGTAAGTGTTGACTTCAATGTTCACTTTTATATTTACACACGCTCTATCTCTGATATTGAGCACTTTATCCTATAAATATAGCACACCTTAAGAGTAAATTTATTCATATATATATATATATATATATATATATATATATATATATTTATATTTAGTTGGATTGATTTGAATTTGTGAGCCTGGGTTTCACGCTATTTGCGATCGTCAGGCAAACTGATTAATTTTTTCAATTTTGGATTTATATATGATTGCGTATAACGGGGGTCTTTATGGAAGTGGGAGGAAAAACTGTCGTCGGGACGCCACTCATACTTACGGAAACATACATACACGCACGTACATTATGTTTGTGTGAGCTCCAGTGAGTGAGCGTGCGCACGCGCGCGCGCGTGTGTGTGTCTGCGTATGCCAATGAGTGAACGTGCGTGTATGTATGTTTGCGTAAGTATGAGTGGCATTCGGACGACAATTCCCCCCCCCACTTCCATAAAAATAAACCCTACGAACAGTGGAATTTTAGTCCATCGGTTTTTCTCTCATTTGGGTCGGCGACTGTCTGTGTCATACTTAAACCCAAACGCCAGGCCATCTCTCTCTCTCTCTCTCTCTCTATATATATATATATATATATATATATATATATATAATATATATATATATATAATAATATAATAAATATAACATATAATAAAAACTTAAACACTAATATTCCATGGTCATAATTTATTCCATTGAATCGTACGATTCCAATGGAATAAATTATGACCATGGAATATTAGTGTTTATGCCTTTTTTTATATATATATATATATATATATATATATATATATATATATATATATATATATATATATATATAAATAATAGAATATTAGTAATATTATTTACGATATTTATAATAGGATTATTGTCCTCAAGTTTGTTATTGTTGTTATCCCAAACGTTTCGGCTGTTGTGACCCCCCCCCCCGGCCTTTCGAAACCTACAGTGAATTCCGAGATGAACGCGTTATTTACTTTCTGGGGACAGACAATTCCCGTCCCACTGCTCATGTCGAGGGATATCATCTTTTTTTATTTTATTTAGTACTGTTTAGATATTGCTCGCTCGTTTCCACTGAGTATGAGAACACAATGCCCCACCTAGGGTTTGAAATATATTGTAAATAATGACAAAGCCTCATCGCAGAAATTCCGTCCTGGGTGAGACGATAAACTACATCCAGCAGTACGGCCTCTGATCAGGAGGTTTTGAGGAGCGTGGAACCACCTCTTAATTGCTGGTGTTCCCAGGTCCACTCTGACCCGGGTTGGTAGCGCCTGTTAGGGTCCCAGCGATGAGCAAATAGTTAAACCCGAAACTGAAGTAAAAAGTATCTTAAAAGTGTAAAAATAGGTTTTAATACCAGAAATACATTCTAAAAAATTATTACCAGAAATAAATTTTTGAAGAAAAAAGCACTATTACCAGCGATATATTGTTGAAAAAAAGCAAAAAAAAAAAAAAAAACCCAAAACTGTTACCAGCAATATATTTTTGAAAAAAAATGTTACCAGCAATATATTCTTGAAAAAAAAAATATTACCAGCAATATATTTTTGAAAAAAAAATATTACCAGCAATATATTTTGGAAAAAAAAAAAAATTACCAGCAATATATTTTTGAAAAAAAAATAATATTACCAGCAATACGTTTTTGAAGAAAAAAAAAATTACCTGCAATATATGCTTTAAAATAATATTACCAGCTATACATTTTTGAGGAAAAGGATATTACCAGAAATAGATTTTTGACAAAACAAAATATTACCGGAAAAAAAAAAAAAGCAAGCATCGGCATTAAATAACCCATTGAGGTTGATATGCTGTAAAACACAACAAACCAAACCATCATTGCAGAAATTCAGACAAATATATGATTAGTGTTCATTAAAAGTAAAAACTCCGTCAAGCATAAACTTAAATTAATATATTTTTTATGAATGTTTATATGAAACTGATTCTTTATTATTTCTTTTAGGTCAATATGGTTATCCGAAATTCCATGCCCCGACATTTTTCGGCTTCACAGTTGGTGTCATCAGTTCAATTATTGAATCCGTTGGTGACTATTTCGCGGCAGCCAGTATCTGTGGCACGGGTCGGCCTCCACAACACGCCGTCAATCGAGGTATTATGTCTGAGGGTTTCACAGGGATAGTGTCCGGTTTCATGGGGGCAGGAAACGCCACCACTTCCTACAGCAATCATATCGCTCTCATTGGTGTCACAAAGGTATCTGGTAGATTTTTAACATGATATATTATTTATCTAGGTTTATCTATTAGGTTTATCTATTTATTATATTTCCAACTTGATATCTCGTATATTTCTAACTTGATACACCGTGGAATAATGGATAGCGACTCGGACTGAGGAATCGGAGAGCCGAGTTCGAATTCCAGTCAAATCCATTACATTCACTTACGTGCTAATACCCAGCTATGGGTAAATAGCAGCGATAAACCGGCTTCTATAGCCTTGGATGGGAACTAGTCTACCGCAGAAAGAAATGGCAACCTCCTGCGTCTATCATGTATCAAAAGATAGATGTATTGAAAGATACATGATCGCCTAAGCGTGTATCACGTATGGCACATAACTGACTGAAGCTGTTATATTTTTGACTTGATGCAATATTCACTATAACCTTCCACATATGATAGGGCAGCATTTCTTTTACTAAATTTTCAATTTGCTTTTATACATTCTCGGCAAATGTATTGAGTCATAGATAATTTGTTTTTGTTTATCAAATGCATTTTTCAAAAGATCAAGTACAATTATATTTTATTCACTTCTATATTAACCATTATTTGCAATGACTCGTTACCACATACCAAGTACCTCTTCGATAGACTTCCACAAGTTTTGATGTGAAAAAGTTTTCGACGAACTCTTGAATCTGATTTTTATTCTAGAAAGTTTTCCCCATTAAAACGTTTTACAGCTATCCCAAAATGATCTGTTATAAAGTCAGGTGAGTTTAGTTGATCGAGTAGAACGTTTCGTTATGGCGGTAGGGAAGTGACTGAAAGCCGAGATGCCAGACCAGGACCGATAATGTTGCAGGTTTTTGTTTGGATTTTGTCACGAATTTTTAGACATATAGCAGAAGCACCAGACTAGATTTTGCAACAGTATTCAATGCACAGGTGAAGGGTAGACTTGTAATTGCCCAAAATAGATTCTGGCGAGAAAAATGTCTAGCCTGACATAGTAAACTGACTTTTCCAGTGGCAGATCCCATCAATTGATTCAATATAATCATTTCACTTCATGCCAGTGGAGAAAGTGAGGGAGTGATAAGTTGCTGTCATGGTGGTCGGCATCAGAAATGTTGAAGGTGGGGGGGGCGCAAAATATTTATCTACGGTGACTATAAGACAACATTTTCGTTGTTGAAGTGTTAAAATTTACAAGTCATTTCAGTCCAGTTTTTAAATCGGTTGCCAGTTTTACTTAATCGAACTTAAGGGACTTACTATTAGAAGTTGTGTTATCAACATATATACTGATCCGGGAACTGATGACATCAGGAGGATCGTTGATAAAGATAAAAAAGAAAGTTTGTCCAATGATAGAACCCTGGGGAACATCTGCAGTAATATAAAAAGATCTAGAAATGTAGCCACTTACCACGACGTTCATTACGCAATACTTAAGAACGACTTCATTAAATAAAAAATTCGGCAGGAGACACCATAGACCTTCAACTTGTGAAGAACACCAATATGCTAAACCCTCTGTCAAACGCCGTCGAGATAAATAAAGCTACAGACAAAGCCTTATAGATTCTTTCCTTAATAGATTCTTTTTAAAATGTCGGCGGTTTACCTAGATTACCAAAAGCCATATTGTCTATCTGATTAAAAGCTGTGCAAAGTAAGATGCCTAACCAATTCAGAGATGATTAGAGCTTCTAGTACTTTGCCAAAAAGAGGAAAAAGACTAAAAGGATGACAATTTAAGGTTCAATAGAATTCTTAAAGACAGGAATAACAGAAGAGAATTTCCAACAAGTAGGAAAGCAAGAAGCAAGAAGGCGCTTATTGTAAAGTCTACATAGAACAGGAACCGTTTACATATGGAGGAAAAAACCGCAATACGTTTTAAAATATTAGGGATCACTGAATTCTAGAGAGCTTTTTCAATTATTATTATTAAATACAATTTTAATTTAATAACAACACTTGACCGATACAAATTAATACAGAATTTTAAAAGTTTATAAATTATTTTAATTAAAATTTAAAATATGAAAATTCTTGTAAAAATTCTTTATTCATCATTTTTTTTTCTTAATAATATATTTTATTCATAAAAGCAATTAAAAGCTTTTCTAATTAAATAATGTCTTAGCTTCATTTACTTATTTTACGATTCAAAATTTAATGATTTAAATTCTTCGAGGACTTGTTTTTATAAATAATATAAACATTGAGAGTTATTAAAATGAATTTCACGCAATTCCATAAAATGATGTGTGTATATGTGTGAGGAGTAATAGATGTAAGAAATACTTTTAAAAAGATTTTCTAAAAATGAGATATTTTAAAAATAATTCATTTCTTAAGTGATTTTAGTGAAGCTCTCAGGACTGAATAAGTCCAGGATGATAAACTAAAATGCAAAAATTATCCGAATTTTGAAAGACTTTTTAAATAAACGTGTCTTTCACCGCAAAATCCGATCAAATTTAAGATTTGGCGTTGACGCGAAAAAAAAAAAAAAAAACGAAAACAAAAATATCTGATCAAAGTTTCTAAAAGTTTTTAAAAAGGATAAAAAGACATTTTTTGCATAGAACTCCTTTGATCTCTTCTCTTAATAATAACATCAAAACTTTACCAATAATTTTTTTTCTTATGTTTTGGGCATCTTTAGCATCATGTATCCTCTTTTTCGCGATTTTCTGAAGAAATCCCATATAAATATAAATATCTTGAAAATTATATTACGCCAATCTTCCAGGTACGGAATTCTTGATTTTCTTGAAAGTTGGTTATTAAAATCGTAACTGGAAAACGCAGTTATTTCATTTATGAGGTAGGCTATTGTAGTGGTTTCACAGTGGAGGCTTGTATTTGTACTAAGTCGGTTCTAAAATAGGTTTGACGTACAAAACGTTAGGAACTTCAAATAATAGGTAATGACGCAGTAATCTAGTTGGGGTTGCTGATACTTTAATGTCCGACATCGACTGATTAACCCACTCACTGCCGACTCAGCGACTGCTACTTCTCCTACTTATTATAGGTGGGAGAGTCTATTAACTATAGAATAGGTGTGTTCCACTATAACAGCTATATATTTATTGATTTTAGTCTGGCCCTGATGAAAATAGTGAGGCACCCAGTGAGAATCGTACTTCTTATACAAATAGTCTACTCAATGAGATTTCTAATAATACTTGATATACACGGGTCAGTATTAGGAGAGTAGTAGTAAGATTGTGTTGCGTCTAGCTTGCAAATGGAATGGTTTGGCTATTTTGAAAATCAGCATGTATTTTAGTTAGTTCTGAACACTGAACACTGGTGCATATTTAAAATTCGCAACTATGTCAGCCACAAGTCAAAGGAGCCTGCTAAACAAATTATATATTTCATTTAAGGTTTGTAAATAATATTTAGTGAATTACTTCCCTTAGATTAAAGTTGCCTCCCTTACATCAACACTTTTTTTTTTTAATTTGAAAAATCTATGATCTCTTTTTCCATCTCTCTCTCTAATATACAAAAAACAAACAAACAAAACAAAACACTTACCATGCTTTGCTTGAACGGGATATCAGGCCATATTTTGGGGATAGGAAGATTGTGTAGCCTCAATCATAAAAATGAGAAACCTAGCGATGTTGTTTGTTCTCCTTTCAGTATCTAGGGGAGATAATTCATATTAGTTAATTCTCTTTGCGATGCCATTTTTTTCTGAAATTTAAGTTAATATCATAATATCTAAGTCATGCTTAGATGTGCACATGTCGATCCTAAGGGTGACCTAACTAGAGATCGAACTCACAAATAGGGAATTACAAATGTAGTCTGCAAATACAACGTCTCCTTGAACTGAATTCGGCGGACTGTCCTATTTATGAATTAATTCTTACCAAGAAATTCATTTAAGTTTTAAACAATGGCTTGAAAGAAGAATATAAAAATTCACCAAAAAATGTCTATTGTTCTGATTTTCAGGGCTAGTGCAAGGATCTCTATAATATGGAACCTCCTGAATCCTTATTACAGCCCCAACCACTCTACTATATCTTAATTTTCATAAGATAGTATTCATATAAAATACAAATTTTATTGTAACCTAATTAAATACAATAATGGATCAAATGCAATATAGGTGAACAATTCAACTAGATAAATTGGAAATAAATACAATAATACATAATAGATCATTCTATCTTAAATAAATCAACTGTGATTTTTAAAATCAACTTCGGATTTTTCTTGTAAATAAGTTGAATAATTTTAACACATTCAACATTATGGATACAAAAAGAGTGGATTTCATAAAGTGCATGAGCAACAAAAAATAAAAATAAAAAAATAAAATAAAAAAAAATAAAATAAAAATCAAAATCCACGGATTTGGACGAAAACAAAAAAGATCCCAGGATGACGTCAAAATCCACCAAGTTCTTAAATCCTTTAATAGTCAGTTGAGATTAATTTAATTTGTAACCTTTATAAATATAGGTAGAAGAAAATAAATGTAGATAAGGGAGCTAGGGTCACAAATCACTGCCTCGGGGCCCTCAATCATTGCTTTCCCCATCCGTTTGGAGGGTTAGGTGGTAGTAAGCACTGGCCCTGCTGACTTGCAAATGGGACACTTCAAAGTGGTTTCATGGTTAGCAAGCTTGTTTTGCTAGATTAATTGAGACTGGATAGTGAGTTCGATTGTCACTGGGTGCTTTCTATTTCTGGCCTTGTGCCACACCAAAGCTAGGCTTAGGAAATCGCTTTGCATTAAAGAATTTGCTCATTTGAAATTGTCTGAAAAGCGGAAAAACCTCAATTGTTAATGGAAATGGAGGTTATAAATAATCAAGAGTGATCTCCCCTTGTTTTGTTAATGCCTACGTCTGCGTATTTTTGTCATTATAATGGGTTTCTATTCAAATTGACTAAATTATCTATTTTTCGTTTCTTTCAAATTTTAAGCGAGATACTTAGTCCGGAATTATTTTAATTGTAATACTAAATTTAATATCATTAAATCAGATAGGAAGTTTTGTAGGGCTATGAAACGTTTTGGAACATAACATAATTCATTATTTACATTAGTCGGACTGTTATCCTCATCTTCATTGTCATATAAATATATTTATATATTTTCATATTTATAAAGAAATAAATATGAAAACAAACTGTTTTATTAAGAAATTTATAGAATTTCTGAAATTCTAAAAATATACGAACGTCCCCAAAGAAAATGGCACGCATATGAAGGAGAAAAATCCGTGTGATGAAATATCAAATATGATAACGTAAGAGACTCGATTGGCCATGATGTCGTAGTTATCAAGTTAAGCGTGCAGGCCATTCCAACTGTCGTAGGTTCGGTCCATGATAGTTTCCATACTCGATTTGCGTCACACTTTGCTAGCTTTTTAAAAAACCTGTGATCAGACCAGATTTCAAAATCGAGCGGACACAATCAAAACAATAACAATGAGGATATTCACATGAAAAAATTGGCACATTGACATGAATAACTTATCTCAGAAATTTGCGCTTAAATGTCTTAATGTTAAATCGGACATAAAAAAAAATAGTTACTCTTTTTTAAAAAATAGTTTGCGGTGTAATGGATATCGGCTCAGAATGAGAAATCGGAGAGCCGAGTTCGAATTCCAGTCGGGTTTGTTGCATTCACTTACGCGCACACGCAAAAAAAAAAAAAAACTCTTGGCAAAAGGCATGAATCCATCTCTTTTCCTAGCTATGGGTTGACAGTTATGAATCAAAGGAGACATAATCACACAAGCATTACTGACTGAAGTTGGTCACCTCGACCTGGTGTAAGGGTTAGCAATCTTGTCTCACTAGAACATTTGCGACTGAGCAGTGACTTCAATCCTCAATGGGAGCCCGTTTATTTTCGGCCTTGTGCCACATATAAGCTACGCTTAGAAAATCGTTATTACTGACTGAAGTATGCGTTACATCCCTTGACATTGTTACCCTGAAAATAAATAAATACTGTATTTTCCCGCTTCCTAATAAATATTCACCGCTTTTGTCTCGTCCATATTAGGTGGCCAGTCGGATTGTCTTGACCGCTGCAGGAATCATAACCATTGTTCTGGCCATGTTGGGTAAAGTAGCTGCCGTTCTTGCAGCAATTCCAGACCCCGTCATCGGTGGAAGTTTCTTTGTTGGCGTTGCTATCATGATCTCTCTTGGATTGATCACCATGCAGAAGGTCCGGCTAAATACCCGGAACACGTTGATTTTCGGTACGGCAATAGGATTTGGCCAGTTATTGCCCCGATGGATTGCACGGTCACCAAATGCCATCAGCACAGGTAAATCGTTTTCTATTGTTTGGTTTTTCGTCCCTCTGATTGACTAATTGATTCGTTTCCTACAGGTTATGAAACATTTGAAAGTTATTTAAAAATCAGAAAATATTTTTAGATTATAAGAATTTGTTTTTGGTGGGGAATAATAATGATTTAGTGATACAATTCTTCCTAATTAAACCATGGCTGGTGAAGGAAGAGGTGTATTTATATTTAATCAGAATGTGATAAATAAGAAATTATAATGTGGATATAAAGTGGGGGATCAATTCTGTATTACAATCAATATATAAACAGATCCCTTACTTTCTGGTCACGGTAGTTTTTATACATTTCTATTCCAGAGAATGTAAATAAATCTAAAAGTCATGCCTGTGTAGCTAATCAGTATTTCATTGATTGATTGATTCCTTTTCTACGGCTTATCAACAACCAAGAAATTATAAGTGGATGTAAAGTGGGGGATCAATTCTACATTACAATCAATATATAAATTAATCCCTCACTTTGTGGCCACGGTAGTTTCTATACATCTATATTCCAGGGAATTTAAATAAATCTAAAAGACATGCCTGTGTAGCTAATCAGTATTTCATTGATTGATTGATTCGTTTTCTAAGGTCTATCAACAACCAAGAAATTATAATTGTATATAAAGTGGGGGATCAATTCTACATTACAATTAATATAATATGGTCCCTCACTTTGTGAACACGGTAGTTTCCAAAAGACATACTTGTTTAGCTAATCAGTATTTTATTGATTCATTGATTTGTTTTCCACGGCTTATCAACCCTTTGCAGGTTATTTAAAACCAGAAAATATTTTTAGATTGCAATATTCTTTTGTGGGTGGTGTGGAGATAATAATGGTTTAGTGATACAAGTCTTACTAATTAACCCATAGTTGGGGAGAGGAAGTGAATTCATAGCTTTCCCAAGGATATTTGCGCCTAAGTGAATATAACGAACCCAACGAGAATTGGAACTTGGCTCTCCGATTGACAATTCCGAGCCACTATTCATTACACCAACAGCTTAAGACAAGCTTACAGCACCTGGTATTCCCAAGCGGTCACCCATCTAGGTACTGATCAGGTTCGACGTTGCTTAACTTCAGTGACCGTACGTGTATCGGTGTTTCATCATCATCTGGTGGTAATCCTTTTGTACCTCTCGCCACATTTGCCTTTTCTTTTCTTTTTCTTCTTAATGAATTCACCGCAAGTAAGGCGATAATGCCACTAAGACGCAAAGGGCTACTTGGAGTGAAAGAGAATTAGCAGACTTTAGAAGTAACCAGAAACACAATCCTAAACAAGAAACGAGGGATAAACCTCTACTCCTGTTCAAAAGACAGGAGAGGAGTGTGAGCCGAACGATTGGCGATAGGCGAACCTGTGATAATAAAATAAAGGAGAGAGGAACATTAACGAGGAAGATTGTTTTAGGCCAACCTTTTCAATCACAGGGAAAGATCGCTGGCAACACTTAATTCGATCACGAGTCCCCCCTAACTCTTACTCTGCAGCAGCGGGATGTTTTCTAGGCAATATAAATTAACTTCTGGTTTGAATTCTCGACCAGTTGGCAACCAAGGCTATAAGACCCAGTCTGTCCTACTATTTACCCATAACTCGGAAAAGATGATCTAGATTCATACCTTTCCTAAGGGTATTAGCACGTAAATAAATGTCAGGAACTCCTCTAGAAAGAGAACCCCTCAATTCGAGCCGCTATACATCATGCTTCCCTTAAGTAAACGAGTTGACTCATAAAAAAATAGAGGAATATTTTCAAAGAAATAATTTATTTTTGAAAATTAGCATTCATTAGATCTGCCCTCAGGCGTGGCATTTGTCAGTATTGCATTTTTATCATTTTAGAAAGGGTTTCTGCTTATTTATTTTTTAAAATAATTTCACCCCAAGCAAGGCGAGAATGTCACGAGGTTACAGGGAAGGAATGAAAGTGAAAGAAAAGACTAGGAAGTATTGAGGATTGGAAAAAAATGAACGGGTTTAAAGACGAGAGAAGATGGCGATTGACGTTGAATTTAAGTCTTTGAAGATTTTAGTTATCAGGGAAGTAACTAAACGGAAGGGAGTTCCACAGGCAAGAAGTGCGATAAAAGTAACTGTTGAAGTAGAAGTAGCAGTTTCATTTAGCTATTTCAATCATAAACAGGTGGGACCTAGACAGGGCCGGATTTTAGCTGAAGAGACGCCCGAGGCTATTCCATTTGTGAGGCCTCTTCAAATCCCCCATTTTCACGAGTAGAGGAATATGGAAGAGTGTTAAATTAAACAATTTCACTAAAGCTGAACATGATGGCTGGTGTTCAAATTCCACAGTTGGTAATTACTCCTCTAAAGGATATGTTTTTGTTAAATAGAGTATGAGAACGAAAAATGCATGAATGTTAAAATTATATATATATATTTGAAACATGGTTAGAAGTGTGTAGCGAAAAAAAAACATATTTTAAATAAAATCAATTTATAATATTAATGCTCTGTAAATTTACATTGAGCACTATTTTGCAAAAATAAAAATATCTATAAGAACACCGGATTATATATCTTACTGTTCTTTCTTTATATATATATAAAGAAATCAATGCAAGCATCGAGTTATCGATTTAAGACCGAATTAAATTGAAATGGAATGTAAGGAAAATTATTGAGGGTTGTTTAGAGTCTACAATGCTTTATGGCAGCAAGTGTAAGAAAAGGCCTGTGACATTGTCAAAAATATTATACAACTTGGCTGGAGGCCCCTACAGTTTGATGCCCTAGGTTTCAGCCAGCTAAGGTAATCCGGCTTCAGCCTATTAAAGTAAATCCGGGATTGGATCTAGATGTCAATCTTGTAGTAAGCTTAAATTCATGTAGTCGTGGCACCAGTAAAAAAAAGCTCATCAGAGACGTAGGCATGAAAATATTTGTAGAAAAGCTGGAGGGTAGCCACGTTACGTTGGTGAGAAAGTGATTGAGGTCGAAATATCGATATAGTATAAAAAACGTTCCCTATTTTTTTTACCAAAGATTCATTCACCTTAATTTTATAGTTAGAATTCAGGTAAACAATTTATGCCATTTGTTCCCGGCATGAGCAAGATCTGTAGGAGAAGTATTTATTTGGAGGCCTGATTAACGCTAATAAATTTCAATAGACATTTTTACTGTTTCAAACTGAATCAATACAACGTATGCATAAACCGAATCAAAATAATTTTTATATGCAGGATTCAAAAAACAAAAACAATTGCGATGCAAAAAAGGAAATTAAGTTGGTGTAACTTAAATTTGGGTGATAAAGGAACGTTTTGTCTGGAATGAGTGTTTCTGTCTATATTTCTGAGATGAGATATCATGTACATTATTTACATTATTCGGTCTATTGTCCTCAACTTTGTCGCCATGTTTATCACAACGTTTCGGCCGTTGTACGCCCGGCCTTCTTCAGGTGATTGGAATGTCGAACTGAACTCTTTATTTCACTCACTGGGGTAGACTGTTCTAGCTCCACGTGCCATGTTTAATGGATGTCAGTTATCAGTTATCTCCTGTTAATTTGCCACTCCAAGTTCTCCACTGCCTTAACCGGGTATTGAACTCACACTCTTTGGGTCTTGCTACTGGATCTAACTAACTTGAGGACACATGGCACAGTGGATAAAGGCATTAGTTACATCCAGTGACAGGATTCAAAGAGTGTGAGTTCAATAGTCCGAATAATGTAAATAGGAATGGATTTTATCTTCAGATTTCTGAGATGAAATAAAAGTCAGTATGTAAGTATGTGAATATAGAGACGGTACACACACATACACACACATCGCATACGCGCACAGAGGGGGGATGGGTGTGAGTAAAAAGTTATATACACGGTGTGAGAGATGAGTTCGTTGAAATTCACCGTGGAAACGAGAGAGGCACTTGAAGATTGTTCTTTGAAGGTACTGGTAGCTGAAAACGAAATTCTTTTAAAAGACTGGGCATCTTCATCTACTTTTCTTCGTGTTTATATTGCCTTTAACAAGCTCATGGCATAGGTATTTTCAACGCCATAATAAAACAATTTGATTGGTTTATTGTTTTACCTTTCAGTATTGTCGTCTGTTCTCTAAGTCCGCAAAAGAAAAAAAATCAATGAAACTGATTTGAAATTTTCAAAGTTGAAGGCATGAACATTGTTTCTTGTGTGGACATGTGTGTGTATAGTCACAGAACCGGAAGAACAAACTGAGCACTTCCGTTTGATAAGATAATTAGACACACACTTATACAGTGTCGATCCAAACAGATCTCTCAGAGTAAATAAACAAAATGAACCTTACCTAATGTAATATTAAAGGTTTTCAAGAAAAAGAAGAAACAGTGTGACTATCTGAAATATTTGTTTAAAATTATTTTCTTTTAATTTCCTTTTTCAGGGAACTATGATGTCGATCAATGTCTTAAGGTTATTTTGGGAACTGAAATATTTGTGGCAGCGCTTGTGGCTGCACTCTTGGATAACACTATTCCTGGTAAGTACCAGTAACAAATAAAATCCCTTTTTTTTCTCAAGTTCATGAAAGTTTTTCATGTTTTTATATTAAATCGACACGAAGAGTGATGTAGCCTTCAGTCCTCTTGGACTGTCCGAAAAGAAAAGTTGAAGAATTTAAAAAATTTCAATCTTTTTCGAATTATTTTTTCAACTTATTACGACAGCGATTTAGTCAACGCATTTCCCTCTACTTCAGGCATATATTTAAATGGGGTTTAGAGGATTTTTTTCTATTTCTTTATGGAGAAGTTGAAGAAATTAAGGAAGAACGGGGTGAAAATAATATGGTTTCTAAAACTATTTCGGATGCAATATTGACCTGAAGAAGGTAAATAAATAAATTTGAAAGATGCTTTAAACGCAAGTGCGATATTAATAATTAGAAAAATATATTTCCATACAATAAATTTATTATATATATATATATATATATATATATATATAAATTGTGTATTTTGAATTCAGAGTTGTACATCTGTTAGACTTTTTGCCAACCAATGTTAAAGATTCCAGTTTACCCTACGACTTAACTCCTAGGGGAAAACGAAAAGAGGGATTGATACATTTCCAAACAGAAATTCTGCATGTGAATGCAATGAAATCGACTGGAATTCGAACTCAGTTCTCCAATCTTCCATTCCGAACGGGTTCCTATTACGTCACCCATGCATCCAATATATATATATATATATATATATATATATATATATATATATATATATACTCCTGTATAAGGCTCCTTCATGTATAGTGTGACCATCCCTGAATTTCTTTTGGGAAAAAACTGATTTTCTTTCATATAGTTCATGTATAAGTCGACTCCAGCTTTTGAGTCATTCTAGTAGGCCTACTGTAATCAAAAATTGCGATACTGGGCAATCATCCTGGACATATTTTATCGCAAATAAATGGTCTTTATTCTTTTTTGTCTAAAGATTCCCCAAAATGGTGAGAAAATTAAGTATATCGTAAAAAATCTGATACAATGATTTAGATACCGTAGTTTTGTATTCGTTCATGCATGACTATGGTAGCTCCTTTACCCTAGTTTCTTCCCTTTTGTCGCTATATGAAGAGCAAAACCTCATCCACTATGTATGCCACTTACCTGATATAAATGAAGAATAACTCAGAGATGTAGACATGTGCGAACGAAAATGAACGCAAATTGGAGAAAGAAAAAAAAACATTGTTAATTCTTCCTTTATGTAATTTATTTTAAGTGGCTGTTCATACGGAACCAGAAAGAAAGAACGTAGGCTACGGGAGCGGGTGGGCAAAGAAATTTACTTGCACTGTTAAGGTTTGCCAAAGGTACCATGAGAATGTAGTACAGAATTCCCTGTAGGGTACCCAGATCCATATACACCCGAGGAAGGCCGGAGGGCACTACGACCAAAACGTTGCGATAGTAAAAAAACAAAGGTGAGGACAATGGTCCGAATATAAAAAACAAAAACATAATCGCCTAGAATATTTCAGAAAGAAAAACATTTATTTTTTTTAGTTTTTGCAGTTAGTGTTTGATATAAAATTATAATGACATTACTAGTAACAAATATAATAAAATGATCACTTATCTTATGTCTAGTTTGAGTTTCGCAGATATTAAGCCCACTCTTCAAAAGAATGGATGTTAAATTTGAATTCAGTTTCACAATCAAGATTTCTGAAGAATGCATGTAATCTTCGTTAAACTCAAACTAGGAACAAAATAAGTGAACATTTAATTTTATATATTACTGTACTGGGTGCGATGGGTAAATTGACTTCACAGTATAGTAGGGTCAGTTAGACACAATCTGTGAGAAAAAGAGCACCATGACGCAATTCATTCAGCCAGAAATTTGGACTTGGCATGCTGTACTGCTTGGCATTCGCGCCGGAAGCACCAATACGAACATTTCAGAGTGTTTGGGTGTCAATCTGAGGATTCGGAAAGAATTAGATGAGTCTAATGGCGATTACGAAGGTGTTTGGAGTGATCACTAGAGCTGTCGACGTTATGTCCCTATTAATTTTCTCACAGGACCTCAGGCTCAACACGGAGACCTACATCAAGTGTCTTGGGGAGGTAATGCTGTCCTGGCTTATGTGTGCTACTGGAGGGCCCTATGTCTGGCAATAAGACTCTACACCATGCCACCCAAGCAAGAGAGCCCAATCATGGCTGTCAGACAATTTCTGCAACAACATCACTCCTTACATCTGGCCACCTAACTCCCCAGACTTCAACCCCTTTAATTATTATGTGTGGGGCGTAGTTGAGCGAGAGACCAACAAAACTCTTTGTAACACTAAAGATGAACTGAAGGCAAGGATTATGGCAGCATTCGCGATTGTAAGGAGACTGTCCAGAAGAGTTGCAGGAGATTCCGAAGTCGACTGGAGGCCGTGGTTGAAGCTAATGGCGATTTTATTGAACAATTTTACTATTTAGTATTTCAAGATATTTTTGTGTCATTTTAGTAAATATATCTGTTAAAATAAGATGTCAGTATTATTTTCATTTTAAGTTTATCCATCACAAACTGTATATATAGATAACTGATATTGCCCAAGAGACAAACTTCGCTTGTTTGTCGTCTCGTGCGTGATGTTATATGACAGTGTAACTCTAGAGGCCCCCAACTCATATTGTCGTAGCGTAGACAACTAAACCGTTTCCACCATCGGGCATTTTTGGCGCTGAAGGTGGCTAAAAACCCAGCAGAATTAAAAACTTTTCAAATGGCAGATGAACATTCTCGTAGACTCAACAGCCATCTAACACAATGGGAGGTAGACTGGGCTCCATAGCTATGGATGCAGCCAGTTCGTGATAACACTGTATCGTGGGCATAGGGCTCCTTAGCCTGAAATCAACGACCAAGATGGTGGGTTTTCTTGATGAAATTAATGTCCAAGATGGATGTCAGTGTCCAAAAAGTGCTACTTGAATACCTGTCTTGCTTTCAATGTAGGCGTGTGCATGGCACTGGTCAGGTGATAAACTGTGCAGTGATCCGTGGAGCACTTTTGGTCATGGCACAGATGATGATAATGGTATCAACGGGACGTCATCATAATGGACAAAATTCAAAACCCTATAATTGTATAATCAAAGCATTTAACCTCTAAAATGTTTTTTTCTTGCCAAGAGCCAGTCGTATGGCCGAAAACGCAAAATCACAAACATTTAGACAGCAGTTATATTTATTGGATCTTGACATAAAAGGTATAATTACACTCGAGATAGAAAGTTATTGAATGGGGATATTGTCAGGGCGTATCGGATTGCCAAATCTGTTTTGACATCAATTTTGTGTGAGAAATATATTACAATTTCAAAACCACCATATAACTAAAATGATTCGCTGCAGATGAAAGGACTTTTGTGCATTAAATCTTCACCCATTATAAGGCCAAAGAGACACTCAAGGTAGAGGGTTACTAAATGAGGTTGTTACATGGACGTAAGATGAGAAAGTAAGTGCAGATAATGAGGATATGTAGTATAGATAATAATTGATTCTTGACTTGAAGAGATTTTAGAGAGTCCGTTCCAGATTGAAACAGTCCTGAGGAAGAATCTGTTTGAGTGGAACTTCTTACAAATTGGATATGAAAGGAAATGAGGATTAGTAGATCTACTGGCGAGAAACTCATCAGAATCAAGACCTTGTTGTGAAGGTTTGGATTAGGGTACACAAGGAATGTAGTTCGCTCGAACATGTGGCATGGAAATACCGATAGATTAGCGAGAGAATAGTAACATGTCGTCTGTGAAAAAAGGCACTGAAGGGTGGTTTGTGTATTTTGGCAGAAAATGTTCTTTAAGGTCAATACTATTAAAAACGACAGACGTTTTGTGTCGATTAGTTTTAATGATAGACTTTTCCAAGTTACCAATTCCGTCAGAAATTGTCCAAAGTTTATTTCAGAAAAAGTATACAGGAAATGTGGTCCAAGCTTTTGACTTTCTTAAGTCATCATCAGGTGAGATAGAGACAATTTTGAAATAATGTAACAGCGCTATATTTAAAAAATAATCGGTTGGAGGTATATGATGAAGGCGTGTATAGTGCATTTTGGGATCTAATGTCGTAGAACTATTTGCCTAATTTGACGTAAGCTTACGTCATAACATGCATTAGTTCTACGACTAACATGCTTCAAAAGACGTGAACATTGAGAATTCTACATGACCAATTCTCCGTTAACAGTACAAGATGCAAGTTCAAATCTCACCAGGGATGCATTCTTTATTTGCCATTCGCAATGTTTACACCAAAGACCTAGAGACGAGAGCCTGATTAGTTGTAATGAAAATCAATTAGCCGTTTAAATGCAAGAAATACTATTAAACAATTAATAATGGTTGATAATGATGGTTGATAATGCTTCAGCTAATAAAAATTCAAGATAATATTATTACTACTACTAAATGAAACGCAAGTAAATTTTTTTTTAATCGGTTTCACCCCAAACAAGGCAGTAAAGCCACTAAAACACAAGGGGTTACTGGGTGTGGAAGAATTACGAACAGAAACAATAATAACGATCGGGAAGAAAAAAAAAGAGTAATTAGGAAGACAGTAGATAGCGATTGACATTGCATTTAAATTTTTGCAGGTTAAAGATGGCTGGAGAGCATGAAGGCGGAAGGTATTTCCACAAGAGAGAAGAGCGAGAAAATAAACAGTTAGCATAGAACTTACGTTTACAGCTAGAGAGCTCAGCTGTAAATTGAGAAGACCTCCACGCCAGTCTAGCACTGCGTTTAAATTCAAAAAGTGTAGGTGAAGGGCGATATTTATTTCCACTTCAATACAGAAAATGTGACACAAAGCCGAAAACGGGGAATGGGGAAAAGGACGGTCTTCTTCTATTTTAACTTTACACTTAGCTAGCCACAAACACAGACCTAAACATACCACATTATTCCTAACACCAAAACAATGCATTCTTACTTGCCTTTCTTACTACATTCAGCAT